GTGTCAGTAAGGACGTCCCAGAATAGAGCGTGAGCTTGGTGCCTTTGAGGAACAGAACGAAGACCAGTGTGGGTGGGAAACAGGGGATGAAGGGAGGTGATACTGGGGGGGGGGGGGGGCTGGCAGGGGCCAGATCATGCGGGCTTCTGTGGGTTCTGTTAATTCTGGATTCTAACCTAAGAGCAGTGAGAACCCATTGAAAGTTTTGAGCAAGGGAATGGCGTGATCTAATTTACTCCTCAAAGAGATTGTTGTGGATGCTGTGCAGAGAATCAGTAGAGGTGGGCAAGAGAAGAAGTAAGGAGAAAAGTGGGTTGTGGTAGTAGCCCAGGTGAGAACCCATGGCACGGCAGGCCCATCCCTGGGGTGTGGTAACCAGGTGCGTTGTCCCGGGCTCCCAGCCCAGGGGAGGTTGTGTGGTTCACAATATACTACACTTAAATTCTGTTGTCTGAACAACACTGAAATGCATTTTTGAATTTTCTCTGTGTAACAGTATCACCAAGGGTTTATGAAAGATGTCCACACATCTTCCTTGTAAGTGTGAGTATCTTGGCAGCCCGCACCGGCTGCCTCCCTCCAGGTACTGCCCTGGATCTTGCCCTGGGGAGGTGAACGTGACAGTGAGCCTAAGGCAACAGAGCCCATGTCTGTTTGGAGAGAAGACTGATAGACTTGCAGGTGGATTGTATCTGCAAGATGCAGGAGAGAAAGGAATCAAGGATGACTCCACGTGATGGTTGTGCCATGCACCACGGTGGGGAAATAAGGCAAGAGTGCAGAACAGGCTGGGGAAGAAATGGTTTCCATTTGGGACTTGTTAAATAAAGATGCCAGTGAACTGCCTGAGCAGAGCTGTCAAGTGGGCGGGCAGATATGCCAGCAGAGAGCTGGTCTCGTAAAGCTCAGCAGAAATAGTTGGTAGTGTTTTTGTGTGAAAGCCACGTGAATAGATTAGAATACTTAGGAGAAGCCATGAGAAAGAAAATGACCTAAGACCAAGCCAGCATTTAGCGGCCAGGTAATAGAAGAGGAACCTATAAAGTCCATTGAGAAGGACCTTCCAGAGAGGAGGATAAAGAGCAGGAGCATGGAGTGTCCTGGAAGCCAAGAGTCCACTTTGCTCCTGGGAGTGGCCAGCTGTGTGCAATGTGGTGAGGGAACGCATGATGAGTACAGAGAGGTGTGCTCTGGATTTGACAACAGAAAGGTCATCGTGACCTTGACCAGAGCAGCTTCACCCAGATGTGGCTGAGGGAGGGTAGGCGGGAAAGCGGGTTTGGAATAGAAGGCTTTTCCCTTCCTGACTTCAGCCGTGGGCTTGGCAACGTTGTTTGGACAAAGGGGCTGCAGAAATCCCAGCAGATCCCCGTTGCTGATTTCCTCCATCCAGGATGTGTCCCTGTTATTTATAATTCTAGTTAGAATATCTCAGAGTTCACCCTCCTGGGCAATGACTTCATATGTGAACATGATCACGTGCTTTAGCTGGTGGCCAGGTTCAAGAAAAAAGAGGAAGAGAAAAAGAGAGAGACAGACAGAGAAGGAAAGGAAATAAGGTTTGTAGAAACCAGAACTAGATGTGGTTCATTCTTCTGGTTATTGTGTGTCAAGATTTCATGGAAACTAGAGTTTGAAGTGTTAGAGCAGGGCGGCTCTTCCTGACCAGCACGGTGTGTGTCACCTTGATGCGGCAGGTGAAGGGGTCGGGGGAGGCTGCCTGTGGCTTCCCACGGCGCTTTGTGGAGCTCGGCAGGTGATGCCTGGGGCTGACACCGCATGTCTGCAATTGAACTGGAGGATTCTTGTCAGGAAAATGAAAACTAATAAATCACATATAGAAATGTCCATCTTTTATTCATTTGACTTTATGACCTAGTTCATTTTAATTCTGGTGGTCTGGTGCTTAAGATTCGGTGCTCTCACCACCCCGGCTCAGGTTTATTTCCTGGTCCAGGAAACAGATCACCCGTCTGTTGGTTGTCATCTGTGGCGGCTGTGTGTTGCTGTGATGCTGAAAGCTATGCTACCAGGATTTCAAATAGCAGCAGGGTCACCCACGGTGGACAGGTTTCAGTGGAGCTTCCAGACTAAGGCAGACTAGGAAGAAGGACCTGGCCACCCACTTCCGAAAAAGTTGGCCTTGAAAACCCTATGAATAGCAGCTGGAGCATGTCTGACACAGCGCTGGAAGGTGAGAAGATGGCGCAAAAAGACGGGGCAGGGTTCTGCTCTGCTGTCCACAGGGTCACTAGGAGTCAGAATAGACTCCATGGCACTGACAACAAAACAAAGTGGCTTAGAACATTTTAGCTTTTAGCTTCTCCCACTAAGTATTTCATGATCTATAAACAAACACTTGAGAAATCTTTTTACAGTAAGAGGAATTCTTCCATATTTTCATATTTTGAATAATTTCACCTTCTACTTTATCATTATAAATAAGATGTTTAAAAATAAATGCTAAGTATTCTGTTCAACGATAGGACCTAATTCCTGTTGGTCAGCAGTGGCCCCTGAGCGTGCCAGTCTCACATGCTTTGATCCTATTTGCAAGGCAACATCTTAGGCAAATTTTCTCAGTAAGTAGAAAGAGTAAAGAACCCCAATATTTTACCCCTGGCTGATCCATTTTGTAAGCTCGGTCAAGTTACTTAACCTCTCTCTGCTTCAATTCCTCCTTTAGGAAATGGTGTGAATAATATCAACCTCGTGTATCTCAGAAATAATTCAAGGCCAGCGAGTTGCCTCCATCCTATGTGATGTAATGGTGGGGAAAAGAGCTATTAAAATGTGAGATATCATTACCATGGTCCAAGTCAGAGATTTCCAGGGCACAACTACCCTCTAGTCGGGACTTTTGGGGACCACTTTTAACTCTTTCAGGCAATTCTTTCTGTTATTAGTAGGGTTGCCTCCATCCACCACTGGGTAATTTGATTTTAAAATTCTAACCCTGCCAGCAGTGGAACTGACTCCAATTTTCACTGAATACATTTGCCTGTGAGGATTTCAGAGGATTCCTCGAGATAACCGAGGATACCTGAGTTATAACAAAACCGCACGTAGGAATCACAGCCTATGGGAATGGCTGACTTACTCACTTATGCAAAACCTCACCTGCAAGTAGGCTGGTTAATGAGGCTTCCGCTGGAGCCCAGGCCATAGGTAAGCAGCCACCGGGGCACAGAAGAAAAATCTGACTCAACGTTGCACCAAAAATCGTTATAACCCTCCCATCGCAAGAGGCTTTTCCCTTAGAAAGTGCATGTCTCACCTCTATGAGGTAGACATTTTATCCCCATCCTATAAAGGAAGAAATTGAGGCTCAGAGAGGCCAAATAGTTGTTCCAAAATCATATCGCTGGTAAATGCCAGAGGCAGGATCAGATTCCAGGTCTTCTGATGCTTTTCTAGGATTTTTTTTTTTACTCACTATGTGAAAATAATAATGGGCATCAGTCTATGGAAAGAAGGAAAAGAACACTGTGCCCTAAACACGCCATTCAAATTTCACATCAATGGAGAAATTTTTTATAACTGATTTGATATTCTACAGGTGGCCAGAATTACTGCACTATCAACCCCACTACCCTCTTCCTCTGCCTCAGGCTCATCAGTATCAAAGCTACCAGATAAGAACGCTCAACTTTTAAACAAAGGAGGCCCTTGACATTTATGATTGAGGATGCACAAGGGCCCTCCACAGTCTCCCTCCCACGCACGATGTTACAGAAGCAGGAATTTGAATCGAATGCACTGAGGCTGGTGTGTGGGACCGAATCTCTTAGCTAGTGAGGGAGCCTTGCCCGCTACTCAGCATCCAGATCTCAATGGGGCTTCTTTGTTCCCCACTCATGACCGTATCTCCATATACCTAGTCTATGGAGAAAAATTACACTCTAGCATGTATTCCAAAATGGGAGGATTTCCAAAGGCCTTGGGACATATTCCTTCCGAATATCAAGGGTTTGCTGTATTAGCTTTCCTGCTCTAATTTTGTTTTGATGGCCAGACACTCGAGGGTAACGTTAATGCTCATAGGAGTAACTAACTCATCTCAGATTCCTAGCACATCTCTCCTCTTTCTACTTGGCTTCCGACCAGTGGTTGCTTTAAAAAAAAGAAAGAAAGAAAAAAAGAAAAGAAAAATCATTTCTCATTTTTATCATTCTATTTTGTATGTGTTTTGTTGTTGTAAATTGTCTCAAATCCTTTCTGAAAGTAGAGAGATTTTAAATCCCAAATAAACGTCGACACTAGTATTCCCAAAGGAACATTTATCTTAGTCCCGGGCCCTCTAAAATGTTAGAACTACTAAAAAGAATTAAGGACAATGATTTCTAAAAGACAAGACGACAATGAACGTCGTTAGATGAATTTATCCAAATTCTGAGGGTAGCTGGTGGTAGCTAAGAATTGGGCTTTGAGTGACACCTAACGGTTGAGACAGTCACTCCCCCACCTTCTTCAGGGGACTCAGACCCGTGTTTCTCAAAGCTCGGTTCTTGGACCATCTTCAGGGTCACCCGTTCAAATGCGGAGAAATTCCGGGGCCCCATCAGAGTGGAATGTCTGGGTGTTGTTCAGCACTCCCCCGGGTGATTCCGAGGTATACCCATCTCTGGGTATCGTTTAGAACTACCCCGGGTGATTCCCATGGACACTCGAGTCTGAGAATCACTCATGCAAGCGCTGCAAGTCAGACAGCACGCAGGACCGTCAGCCCCGATGACAGCCGGGGAGTTAGCAGGGGCCAAAGCGAAGGGACGGCCTGGGCCTGGGCTTGGCGTTGACCTCCCCGGTCCGCGGACCAGGGACGGGCTGGGTGGAGAGCGCGGGGACGCAGCGCCCCGGGGCGGCCGCTGCCCTGTCGGCAGTGCGGGCGGGGGCGGGGGCGGGGGCCGGGGACCCGGGCGCGGTGGCCCTGCGCCCTGCTGCGTCCCCGGCGCGGCGAGGCCGGGGCGCGGGGGCCGCTAACGCTGTGCTTCCGCCCGCAGACGACCCCGGCGCCCGGAGCCCTGCCGCCGCCGCCGGCCCCGCTCTGCCGCAAGTAGGCGCCGCGCCCGACGACGGCCTCTCGCCGCCCTCGCCGCCCGCCGCGCCCCCGCAGACCAGCCCGGGCCCGGCGGGGGACAGCAAGAGGGAGCACGACGCGAGGAAGCCAAAGCAGCGCGCGGCCGGCGGCCAGAAGAAGCAGCGCCTCGGGGAGCAGAGGGAGCGCTCGGCCAGCCCGCAGCGGGCGGCGCGGCCGCGGCTCGAGGAGGCGCCCGGCGGCCAGGCCCGACCCGAGCCCGGCAGGGCGCCCCCCGGCGGCCAGGAGCGGCCCCGCGCCGCGGCGGGCCCCGAGCTCGGCCGGCGCCAGGGCCCCGGGGCGGCGGCCGCGTGCGCGGAGCGGCCGGGCGCGCGCGAGCCCGAGGGCAGGGGCGCGCGCGCGGGGCCCCGGCAGGGCGCGCGGCCTCCGGGGGGCGCACCGGCGCGCAGGGCGGCCGTGGCCCCGGGGCCCTGGCGCGTGCCCGGCTCCGACCGGCTGCCCGGGGGCCTCCAGCCCGGCGCCTCGGCCGCGGGCCGGTGAGATGCGCGCGCGCGCGCGCACCCGCCGCGCTCCTCGCGCCCCTCGCGCCCCTCGCGCCCCGCCTGCCTGCCAGCGTCTTAATTTATTGTCCCTGTCGCACGCCTACATCCACGAGGCCCCGAGGCCTGCGAGCGCCGCCCGAAGCCCCGCGGGTCCGCCGAGCGCGGGCCGTGCAGCGTCCCCGCGCAGACCCAGACTGACCCTGAAGCCCCCGGGCCCGTGCGGGGCTTTGGCAGCTACGGAAGAACCAAAATAACGTGAACATCGTCACAGAGAGACAGTGCAGTGTAGCTTTAGTAAAAAGAGAGAGAGAGAAAAAACAAATTCCCCCACTGCATGAAGGCTTTGGATGTCATCCAAACTTTGTATCAAGAAACTGGACACGTTAAGAGCAATCAGAAACTGGAATATCGCCTTAAAAATCAAACTGCACGGAGCAAGCTGAAACGGAGACAAGATTCTATCTTTTAATTGATCTAAAGAGTTGTAAATAAATTGTTCTTGACATATCTAGACAGGGGTTACAAGGTTTCTTTGAAACATTCAAAACTGTGTTTGCCCATGACAGGTTTCCATGGCTCACCCGGGGCATCCATCACCGTGTTAGGAACGTCGTTCCCTGGGAACGCAGGGTGACTTAGCAATCTCGTGAATTCATTGGTGTGATGCCATTTTTACTGCCATTCCTGTGATCAAGTCATGTTTCTGTACATTTTCAGTGGTAGGAAAAAAAAAAAAGAGGTTTCAAAAATTGTATCCTAGAGAACAGTTTGCCGTAAGTCAGAATTTTGCAGTTTAGCTCATAGATCTTAATTGGTTTTCATCTAAAACATGAATTTTATAATTGAAGGACCACGGTTTGTTGAATTGAGATTGGCAACGCTGCAGCGCCTCTATGGAAAGGCTCTCCTGTTGTCTCATGCTGGCAGACCTCGTAGCTTTTTTGACAGCACGCTTATATTTCACCTATTTTATTGTCTTTTTTTAAACCCACTTCCATTACTTCATTTTCACTTTGATAGAGCAGAGGCAAAGTATTTCTCCTATATTTCTCAGATTATAATGAATCCCTAATATTGAAAAATCATTATGATGACCAATTTATTTTCATTAAAGAACATGAACCTTTTTAGCATTGTGCTGCTTATCTTTCTTATTCTTTCTCCTTTTATTTCCATTTGGTTTGCTTTTTTGTCTTCTATTCTTTGCTAGGTTTTTTTTTTTTTTTTTTTATTTCTTTAGCAACCTGTAGATGTTTCTGTCTATCTTCCTCCATCTGCGGTGGATTGCCTAGTAAAAGTCTAAGGCTTGCCTTTCTTCCTTGCTGTTTTAATATTTCTTTGTGAAATGTTACCTTCAATTAATTACCCAATGGTACTTAGTGGTAGCTACATGTATTAAAAGGCAAAATGTTTCTGAGGGCAGTTTCCCTTTAAGATGGCCTGGATGACCCATGCTTCATCCTTCCCAGATTCTGCTCCTTTCCAATGTGGAAATGCAGGTAACCCTCGCCTCCCTGCACCTGCCGTCCAATGAGTAAACCCAGGAGGTCGGGTCCAGTGCACAAAGTCACACGTAACAGCTGCCCTCGGTCACATCTTCCCTTCTCTGTGTAATTGCAGTATCCCGAGCACTGGCCCTTTAATTTCCATCGGGCGTGGTTCAGTCATTTGACGCGAGGAGAATACAGTTGAAAGCTTCCAGTGAAGAGTTTCGCAGCTTGTAAAAGCAATTTCCAAAAGGGGAACCCATCCGGCATAAACAAAAGCACAAACACACGTAGCAGTTGACAATACTTTTAGTTTAATCTCAATTAGTCTTTCTCCCCTGGACTAGAAATCCAGTAGAGTTTGCCATTAATTTATTGAATCTGGTTTTGGACAATGCTTCTGTAGTGTAGCTGCACGTCCTGGTACTGTATCCTCTGACCTTTATTTTCCATGTGTTACAAAAGGATAAAAAAATTGAGATTACGCTTGCATAAACTCTGATTTGCACAGTCCGCAGCTACCATTTGTGCAGTAATTGCTTTATGCGGCTGTAATCCATAACCTGTGAAGACAGCACATCATCTAAATGCCATTCCAAATAATATTTCTGTGTAGTGTTAGCTGTGAATTTACCCTGTACAGCTGTATCTCTATAAATATAATTCCATGTATTAATAGTCACAGAAAGACTGTAAGTGAGCAACTATTTTTATGAAACGCACCACTATGGATAAATTAACTTTTACAGAAATCTTGTTTACTGTATGATATTCTAAAACACTGTCAAATAAAATATATATCCAAAAATCTTTTCTTTTTCCAACTATACAGGCTGTGTGTTAATTTGAAGTACTTAATTACTGGGAGTCAATTTTTTTTAAACTGCAGCTTTTATAGATTTTTAAACTATAAGTTTAATGCCCCAAACAGAACTTCTTTGAAACTTAAATCTAAATGCAGTGGAATTACATGGGAAAAAGCTGTTGACTTTTTTCACCCGAGTAAATTGAGAGTTTTCTCATAGACAATCTAGTCGGTATTTGCCTGTGGGCTAACTACATCGTTTATGAATTGTCCTATGTTTCTGTTCTTGCTACACTGATTGATACTCAGCCTTTTTTCAAAATGGATTTAAGGTATCAATCAACAATAAAGTCCATCCCATTTTTTTCCTTTTAATTCTGAAATTTTTTCAAGCAAAATCACAAGGAGTTTATGCAGAAGCCAACATCTAGCGAACAGCAGTGTGGAAGTCCACAGAGAAGGGCTGAGCATGCCTTTTGGAATGTGTCACAGTACGTGCATTAGGGGGGCGAGAGGTCTGTGCAGTAATAGGGTGAGACAACCCTGCCATCGAGGAGATTACAGGCCAGAGAAAGAGTTCTCAACCCTGGTCCTGTCAAGACTTCCCACTGACGTCAACTCGAGGCCTAATCTTCCCACACTGACCATTTTTTCACTTCCAATATAATTTTTAAAAAATTAAATACACTATGTATCACTTTTGGAAAAGGGAAGAAGCTGGCACGAAGTGTGAAATCAAGCACAAAAAAGTTAAGATGTTGGTAATAAATATATGTCATCCTTCATGAACTAATCTGAGAATAGCCAAGTGCAAGCTGAAAAAGCAAAAAGACGGAAAACAACGGAGTTAACAAAACGGGGTGGAAATATTGGTAACACACGGCTAGGTGCTATTTTAAAAGAAAAAAACGTCATTAGGACATAAAAAGATTAGAAATCAGAGCCCAAAGGATTCAGACAGGGACAGAGCAGGACTCTGATGAGGCAGGTAAGGTGCCTGGCCTAGACAAGGGCCTTGTCACGATTCCAGTGTCTCTAGGTCAGGAAAGTATGAAAAAGTAAAGAGAGGCAGGTGGGGACCGGGCCAACAGACAACACGTCACTCCTCTAAAGCTGTCATTTTGTCAAGTGCAATTCTGCCATGGAACGGTCTTTCAGTTTCCCAAGAAAAGAAAAGAAGAGAAATCAGCTCTTTATTTGAAAGTGTCTGGTTTTTAAAGTTTGACAAGTTTAATTGACACTTTGAAGAAACACTCAACAAGAAGACAAAACACTTGCACAACCAACCATCTGCAGACGGAGTCTGGCCCGAGCCCACCCATTTGCAGCCTCTGTCTTGGAACAAGAGCTAGCTTTCAGGAGAGCATCTGGCTTCCATCAGAATCTGACTCACCTTCCACGCAAGGGCTGGTGCAGACCTCGGAGATCAGAAAGCGTGTGGCTCTCCAGGTCCGTCCGTGCCTAAAATCCCTTCACTTGTGTGTTTTAAGCGTGAGGCGCTCACCAGAAACCTGACCGTGGTTCCTGCCCAGAGTGGGTTTGCTGTGAGCCAGAGACCAAAGCTTACATGAGCCTCAAAGCCTAGCTGAGTTTTTGTATTCTCTTTCTTATTGAGTCTCACCCAAACTGTGTCAGCTTTGTCTCATGATGATGTCTCCTGCATTCAGGGCACTGGTTAAATGTGTGGAGGTGATGATGGTGATTATTGGGGGTAATAATAGCTGTAGTTGTAAACATTTGGGTATGAACAATGGAGCAACAGCCAAGAATTACACAGACCCTTGCTGGGCATTTGGTGGCACATCACCCACAGCTCAGTGACCAGGGAGTCTGTAAAAGTGTCGCTCTGTCCCACCACCCTGGGGAGGGCAGCTGGGAGCTGCATCTGTTTCTAAGAGTTTATCCAAGTGTTCGATGGGATCCTTTCTTTCGATGAAATGGCCTCTTGGACAGCGATGTCATCTGGAAGAACCTGGGAATCTTGTGAAGCGATGAAATGGCCCTTGACCTTCGTAAGTCGAAGGTGAATTTTCTAAAATCCTGACAAGGGGTAGAGCCGTATGAAAGGAGCTGGAAGTCCCCTCTGATTTGGTCCCAGGTCAGCTGCCTTCATCCGGAGGAGCAGGCACTCCTGGGGTACACGGAGGCTTTCTAGGGAGCGCACAGGCAGGGATGGCTTAAATGGAATCCATGTCCAGGTTCTCAGCCTCCATTTTTATGCATTTCAAGCCTGTGGACTCCCAATTCTCCATTCCCACCTGCCCCAAACAAGGGCCCTTTACATTAGAGAAGAAAGACAGACGCGTCTCCTGTCCTGCATTTTACTCTGTACGTTGCCTCCAGGTGTGGAAAGCTCTGGGGCCTTAGACAAAGGGACAATTGGGGAATGCAACCTCCTGAGGGAGAATCAAGACAGCAGAGAGCATCAGTAAGGAATATTGAAGTGGACACGGTCTTCCTGTCTTCCTTCACCAGGGAGGCGGATAGGGTCCCCATCTCTCTAAGAATTAGCACCCACATTTATTTGAATTTTAAAATAAAGTCAGACTTTTCCTGATGGAGTGTGTGATTTGGCCGTTTGTCTGACTTGACCACGAGGACCGGCTTTGCCAGTTAGATTATACAACAGGTATTTTCCATAAATTAAATGAGTTAAATCTGCAACTACAAGGTTTAAATAAAATATATTTGAAGCATGCATACAAGAAAAAAAATACATGCTTGCAATATTTAAATTTGTGATAAAAATGTAGATGCCAAATGAAAAATGAAATCAGATCTAGAGTTTTATAAAATTATTTTAGGGGCTACATGAGCTAAAGGGAGCACTTACTAAGGCAAACCTGCTTAACTCAGTTTAATGAAAGTTTCAAAATAGTGTTGAGTGTCTACTATATATAAACCAATACAGGCGAACAGGACACAGCTGTATTCTCAAGGTGCCTAGAATCTGGCTAGGCGACCAGGACAAGTAACTCAAGATGGAATTTTGTAGGATGCAGACATCGCCCGAGGCAGTTAGAAGTCATTCCTGGATAAGTGGCGTTTTAGTTGGGTTTTGAAGGATGGGTAAGATTTCAAGAGGCAGAGGATGTATACGGGGAAGAACGGCGTGAGCCAAGTCAGAGTTAGGAAACTTGGAAGTCTGTTAGAGAAATAGTGAGTTGTTTATTTTGACCAAGACTGTATGGAATGGCGGGTGGGGAGGAAGATTAAACACAGATGTCAGTTCAGGCAGATCACAGATGCCGATAGGGAGTGGTGGAGAGTCAGAAGGGTTTCTGAGCAGAGAAAAGAGAAGACGAGCTCTTGGCTCTAGCAGGAAGTCCAGGCAGTCCTGTCCAGGGTGTGGTGAAGGGGCAGATGTCTGGCAGCGACTAATTTCAGTCCAGGTGAGAGGGAAGGAGACCTGAGCACCTGGAATGGAGGGCAGAGACACGAGGGCTCTCGAGGAGGGAGAACAAGGAGATCCCCGACTTACGGGGTGCGAAGAGTGAGGAACAATCCCAGGCTTCAAGCCTGAGTGAAAAGGAGGAAATGGGAGGAGGACCAGACCTACAAGGGACATCGCTGTGTTTTCTGACAGGTAAAGTCTGAGGGGCTCTCAGGTTGCCCAGACGGAAATATTCATCCAGCCAATAGCCATAGACTAAAGATGGAGATGGTCCAAAGAGAGTGAAATGCAAGTGAGAGACTGAATGTAGGAGTAAGGACACCCCCCTACCAACCCCCTACCCCACCCCCCACCCCCAGATTCTGATGTAACTGGTTGACATGGGACCATTTTGGAAGGGAAATGTCCTATGCATTATAAATACACCCACAGAAGTAGTGGCATGCAAAGAGTGCTTTGTTACAGAAGGCAAGCGTTCTGGAAAGACTTGCCTTCTTTCTAAAGTTCAGGTGCCACCAGGAAAGACATGAGCCAATTTCTTTTTCTAGTCCTTAACTAGACAATAAAAGTGAGCTGCAAGCGGTTCAACTGCCAGGGATGTGGAGCAATTCAAAGAAGGAGTACTTCAAAACAGACACCCCCGTACACCGCCCTTTCAACCTGTAAAGGTTAGCAGGGGCCACAAGGCTCAGTGACATGCCGTCCAACTTCCGTGTCACCTCATCTTAACAGGAACACCTGGATTCTCGCTCCTTGATCTGGATCGCCAACTCTGAGACGAGCTCAGTTGTGCTTCAAAGGGAGAGAGCCAGCTAACGTGAGCAAATGAGCAGCCACCAGATAAGGGCCAAGCTATCTATCTGTATATATCTACTCCCACATATTATACACACACACACAACACACAGACTCACACGTGAGCACACAGATACACAGACATGTACCCAGGGACTCCGATTTTAATTTTCTTTGGTCACAAAATAACTTATATACCCAGAAGCTACAAACACACGGAAAGCTTCCTCGTTTTACGGCTGGCAGCTGTGTAAACGTCATCCAGGCTGAGGAACAGCCCGGGACTCTGACCTGAGCGTGGCACAGAGAAAACACTCGATACGTGTACATTCTTCCTGTTGTTGTTATTAACTAGAGGCATGTGAACGTTTTCAGTGCTGCTCTGGAATTCTCGCTCAGCAGATATCTAGGAGGTGTTAGCCACGTGCCAGGCCCAGTGCGGAGGGCTGCCTGGACCTGGGAACTACACAGACACTCCCACCCCACAGAGAGCTCGTAAGTGCAGCTGTCGTTGGAGCTGCAAAGGGGAAGCGAAGGAGGGGCCGGTGGGGCTTCTCCTAAGGAAGGGGCTGCCAGGCCGAGAGCCGGACACGAGCAGGTGTCAGCCGGGGACAGTCGGAGCCGGAGCCACAAGGGGGAGTCCAGGTGGCCAGGCCTCAGCGGGTCCGCGGTGACCCGTCCGCCCACTTGCCCAGGCCTCTCCTGGTTTTCAAACTGTGAGTCTGCGCCCCAGCAACCCCTCCGTCCAGGCAAACCCACGTGGTTTGGCCCCTGTAGAGGGAAGGGCACATGGACCCAGCTGGCAAAGCTGAGGGCCCAACTGAAGCTTGTCACC